AAAAGTCTTGGTACAGAACCAAGAAGTCTTGGGACAGTACCAAGAAGTCTTGGGACAGTGCGGAAAAGTCTTGGGACAGTACCAGGAAGTCTTTGGACAGTGCGGAAAAGTCTTTGGGCAGCACCAAGAAGTCTTGGGAAAGCACCGAAAAATCTTGGTACAGAACCAAGAAGTCTTGGGACAGAGCTGAAAAGTCTTGGGACAGTACAGAAAAGTCTTGGGACAGCACCAAAAAGTCTTGGGACAGTACCAAGAAGTCTTGGGACAGGGCCGAAAAGTCTTAGGACAGTATCGAAAAGTCATAAGACAGTACCAACAAGTCTTGGGACAGTACAGAAAAATCTTGGGACAGTAACAAGAAGTCTTGGGACAGGGCCGAAAAGTCTTAGGACAGTACCGAAAAGTCTTAAGACAGCACCAAAAAGTCTTGGGACAGTACCAAAAAATCTTGGGACAGGGCCGAAAAAACTTAGGACAGTACCGAAAAGTCTTAAGACAGTACCAAAAAGTCTTGGGACAGTAAAGAAAATTGTTGGGACAGTACCAAGAAGTCTTGGGACAGTACAGGAAAGTATTGTGACAGTACCAAAAAATCATGGGACAGTGCCGAAAAGTCTTGGGACAGTACCAAGAAGTCTTGAACAGTACCAAGAAGTCTTGGGTATTTACCGAAAAGTCTTGGGACAGTAGCAAGAAGTCTTGGGACAGGGCCGAAAAGTCTTGGGACCGTACAGAAAAGTCTTGGTGGTACCAAGGATAGTGGTTCAAGAGTCCCAACAACGAAGAAGAAATCAGTTTGTTCAAACACTAAGAAAGAAAGGGTCTTGGATAAATGTGAGGTGTCCCAACATTGAAGTGACGAAGTCCTGGGACAGTACGAAGAAGTCTTGGGACGGTAACAGGAAGTCTGGGGACAGTAAGGGAAAGTCTTGGGACAGTGCAGAAAAGTCTTGGGACAGTACCAAGAAGTCTTGAGACAGTGCCGGAAAGTCTTGGGACAGTGCAGAAAAGTCTTGGGACAGTACAAAGAAGTCTTGGGACAGCACCGAAAAGTCTTGGGACAGAACCAAGAAGTCTTGGGACAGAGCCGAAAAGTCTTGGGACAGTACAAAAAAGTCTTGGTACAGTACCAAAAAATCATGGGACAGTGCCGAAAAGTCTTGGGACAGTACCAAGAAGTCTTGAACAGTACCAAGAAGTCTTGGGACATTACCGAAAAGTCTTGGGACAGTAGCAAGAAGTCTTGGGACAGGGCCGAAAAGTCTTGGGACCGTACAGAAAAGTCTTGGTGGTACCAAGGATAGTGGTTCAAGAGTCCCAACAACGAAGAAGAAATCAGTTTGTTCAAACACTAAGAAAGAAAGGGTCTTGGATAAATGTGAGGTGTCCCAACATTGAAGTGACGAAGTCCTGGGACAGTACGAAGAAGTCTTGGGACGGTAACAGGAAGTCTGGGGACAGTAAGGGAAAGTCTTGGGACAGTGCAGAAAAGTCTTGGGACAGTACCAAGAAGTCTTGGGACAGAGCCGAAAAGTCTTGGGACAGTACAAAAAAGTCTTGGGACAGCACCAAAAAATCTTGGGACAGTACCAAGAAGTCTTGGGACAGTACCAAGAAGTTTTGGGACAGTGCGGAAAAGTCTTTGGACAGTACCAGGAAGTCTTGGGACAGTGCGGAAAAGTCTTTGGACAGCACCAAGAAGTCTTGGGAAAGCACCGAAAAGTCTTGGGACAGAACCAAGAAGTCTTGGGACAGAGCCGAAAAGTCTTGGGACAGTACAGAAAAGTCTTGGGACAGCACCAAAAAGTCTTGGGACAGTACCAAGAAGTCTTGGGACAGGGCCGAAAAATCTTAGGACAGTACCGAAAAGTCTTAAGACAGTACCAAAAAGTCTTGGGACAGTACCAAGAAGTCTTGGGACAGTACAGAAAAGTATTGGGACAGTACCAAAAAATCATGGGACAGTGCCGAAAAGTCTTGGGACAGTACCAAGAAGTCTTGGTACAGTACCAAAAAGTCTTGGGACAGTACAGAAAAGTATTGGGACAGTACCAAAAAATCATGGGACAGTGCCGAAAAGTCTTGGGACAGTACCAAGAAGTCTTGGGACAGTACCAAAAAGTCTTGGGACAGCACCGAAAAGTCTTGGGACAGTACCAAGAAGTCTTGGGACAGGGCCGAAAAGTCTTGGGACAGTACAGAAAAGTCTTGGAACAGAGGTTTCGGTGCTGTTCCAAGACGTTTGGACAGTACCGAAAAGGTCTTAGGACAGTACCGAAAAGTCTTAAGACAGTACCGAAAAGTCTTGGGACAAGATAGAAAAGTCTTGGGACAGTACCAAGAAGTCTTGGGACAGTACAGAAAAGTATTGGGACAGTCCCAAGAAGTCTTGGGACAGTACCAAGAAGTCTTGGTACAGTGCGGAAAAGTCTTGGGACAGTGCGGAAAAGTCTTTGGACAGCACCAAGAAGTCTTGGGACAGTACAGAAAAGTCTAGGGACACTGCCGAAAAGTCTTGGGACAGTACCAAGAAGTCTTGGGATAGTACAAAAAAGTCTTGGGACACTACCGAAAAGTCTTGGGACAGTACGGAGAAAACTTGAGACAGTGCGGAAAGTCTTGGGACAAAACCGAAGTGTCTTGGGACAGGACGGAAAAGTTTTTGGGATAGTACCAAGAGGACTTGGGACGTGCGAAAGGTCCCAAAATCAAAGCGAAAAGGGTCTTGGGACAGTGCGAGGTAGCCCAACACTTGAGTGATAAGTCTTGGGACAGTGTGAAATATCCAAATACTTAAGTTAAGAGCACAAAGGACCGGTCAGAACGATCAAATTAAGAAAAATGAGCTCTAATAAAATCACGAATTGAAAGATTTTAAACTACACAACAAAAAATTGGAGGGTCGGATGACATCTCGTCGGGGGGGGGGATGATTTCTACTGGTTTTATCTTTTTTTTACTGTTTTTGGTTTTTTCGGTTTTTTTTATGTTTTTCTTAGGTATTATACTAATTTTTGTTTGGTTTCCTGTATATCTTCAATTGTTTTTGGTCACAAATCTTTCAGGAAACGACGGGACGGCCAATCCCCTCACCCTTCCTGGTACGTGAATTTTTGGTCCTAACTAGTTTAAAAAGCTATTCACGGGATTCCAGAAGGCTTCCGCGTTCCGAACTACCCTTCCGCCCCGATTGTTAGAGCCTTGTTTTGAGCATCCGGTCGGCGAGGAGTGCTCGTAAACGGTTCTGCGGGTCAGGATGTTAAAAAAGAATAACACCCAGGAGCGCCATAAAAACATCTCTGTAACATTCCTCCGGAAGTACATATCGACGGAAAATAAAGCTAGGTTCAAAAACCACTGGCTAGCGTCTAAACACTGCTCTACATGCTTTTCACCGTCTCTTCCCAAGCCAGTTCTTTTGATGCTCTTTCTAACATCGTGTCGACAAAAAACGTTACTGTTTCCGGCTTTGGTCGGAACGCTCTAATTAACTGAATTACATGCTAAAATAGTGAGCTCATGGCTGGGTCTCAATATCCCCATACAACGAGGTCACTCCTAAAAACAGAGTTACTACTTATTATTATATTACGATTGGTTTTGTTCAGTAGATAAAAAGCATCATCACCATCGAAGATGGATCAACCTTTTTCCGCTGAATCCTAGCTTCTCATGGTCTGAAAATGAATTTAAATGTTAATTGATTTCAACTCAGGATATCTGCAGGAAGCTAAAAGCTTAGAAAAAACAGTTTGAGTTCTCCTCCCAAGACCCCTCCGGATTCTGGAATCCGGGGAAATAATGTCCTTATTTCTTTCAGGAAGGCTGGACACGCCGTCCCAACACCCTTTCTTGTTCTCGGGATTCGCGTTGTAACGATTGTAGCGGCACAATCATTACAAATCGGAATGGTCTTCGTAAAGTTTTCTCCAATCTCGATCACAACTTCCGTTCACTGCTTTTCTTCACGAGTTCTGTTGTTGTTCTCTCTGAGCAGGGAGTTCAAACTCAAACTCAAACAGTCAAACATCAAACTCAAACTATTCCTTTCAAACTCAAACTCAAACTGTAGACGTCTATATTCTCAAACATCAAACTCAAACTCAAACCCTGCCTGTTTTTGTGTAGGATTTTTTCCGTAAGAAAATCGCGCATTATTTTTTAATTCCGTGGATCTTTGACATTCTATTACTATCAGGCATTTCGAATCGGAGTCGAATAATCGGTTCGAATAATTTCAGTGCTGTGAATGTCGGCAGAGAATGCTAATGATGCAATCCTGCGCCAAGAATGGAAGAAGCCGACTTCTACAAGCAATTCAGTTCATGATTTTTATTTGGTTGAATATGTTGGTGGACTAAAAAAAGATCGCCGGAAAGGTATTAGATGCGGTATTATTATTTGCGCCAAAAATAGTGGCACAACAACGTTGAAGAGGCATACCACTACTTGTAGAAAACGTTCCGCTAAAGAATTGTCTAATCAATCATTAGTCGATTTTGTTCGGTTGCCAAAGCGTGAATCTAAAAAAGGCCTAGATGAAGTAGCAAAGACGGTTTATCGGTTAACGCTGGACTTTGACGCTTTTAATGTGGATGATGATAAACAATCATTCGATATAGACGTGGCCATGAAATCGTTCAGACCTACAAGTGCCGACCCAGAGAGGCTTTTCTCTTTGACAAGAATTTCTCGAAACTTTTTGCAAAATCGCATGTTGCCCGAAAATCAAGCAAGAAATGCTTTCTTGAATAAAAACTGCTATCTCTTTAACTGATTTACTTCTGTTACTTGTTAATTGCTACTGTTGCTAATTGTTACTGTTAATTGCCAATAAATGGTAGATTTTTGTTGTTTTGGTTTAAATGCAATTTGGTCATTTTCAATACAATCTACGCAAAAAACGGTGTATGTCATGCCAATGTTAAAGACATGAAAATTGAGTGTCAATATAAAAAATTCAAACTCAAACTCAAACATCATTTCACTGTTTGAGTCAAACTCAAACATCAAACTCAAACAGAATTTACTCAAACTCAAACTTTAAAATCCAATGTTTGAATTCCCTGTCTCTGAGACTATCTGTTGTTGTGTTTTCGCCGTCTCAGTTGGTGGAAATTTCGACGTTGTCACGTGTCTTTCTTTTTAAACAAATTTTATTCAAATTAATATGAAAGTCCAAATTAAACTTCCCGTGTTGGTCAAAATGAACGATTAAGACCTCTAATTCGTTAAAACCGTTAATCTTCCCACTCCGATGTCACAATAAAATTTCGAATTCTAACTTTGCATTTTCGTACATTCTGGTCGAATGTCATGGCACCTCTTACAAATTGCATAAATATAATAACTAATTGGCATCCGCTAGTTAGATCAGCCGAATTTTGAAATGCATAAACTACACACATGAAAATCCGCTCAATGATGTTTTAGTTTTTAACAATCCTAAACGTCAAGTAGACGTCGAAAGTTTATGGAAAAGCCATTAACTGGTAAAGAAAAAGCATAAATTTAAAATCTCAAAAAAGTCAAATGTTAAAATTTATCATATGTTATCATTTTTTGAGAAAAAATTCGACCGTAGTTCGTAATTTTACGATTCGGCTAGAAGTCCTGTCAGCCTGATGCCGGCACCTCTGGAAAAAAGCGTATTTTTGACCGCGTTCCTGTTGAAAAGCTATTTGTTTTTTGGTGCTTAGCTTGAAGGGGAGTGTTATATAATAGGAAAGCCGGACAATTGATCTGCTTGAAAAGTGTTTCATAATGAGCGAGTCCCCTGTTTATATATTTGGTTGTAGGTATTTGAATGTTTGTTCGCTTAACATAATCACTGTGTGGATTGTTTGTTTTGTGCTTTGAATGTCATCGAGTACAATGATCAGAAAAGAACAGATCATAAGGGAACGGCATAGCAGTTAACCTTGTTTGGTTACGTTATTGGCTGTAAACCGATGCCCTTTTATTAAACTAACAAATCATGAACCATCAGCCACGAACAAACAAATCAAGCCGAGTCAATTAGCAAAAAAGAGAATAGAATATACTCGGAGACGTTTGAAGATGTGTGGCAGTTTGAACAGTGATCGTAATAAGTGGATTTTTATCGGGAATGTTCTGGGATTGGTGGGTTATACTGCACTGGCCAACTGTGTAATTTTAACCTTCTCTGAACCAGTTGATCGCGGTGTGTACTGTGGCGACCCAAGTATTATTTATCCACTAAAAAGCGAAATAGTTTCTGGTTGGGAACTTGTTATCATCACAACTTTACCTGTTATCATCATTGCAGCTATGAACTATTTTGTTGTGGCATTTACGGGTCTGCTACCATTCTCAGAAGACAATAAGCCCTCTCTATTGGAAAGTTGCCTCTCTGTTCGAAAAGTTGTCCACATATGCTGGATGGAAAATGTATTGGTTTTCTTGGTTATTACTGCTGGAAATTCTACTTGCTATTTGATTACGGAAATTGCTAAAGTGTCAGTAGGAGAATACAGACCTCACTTTCTGGCTGTTTGTAGGCCAAACAACGAAGCTTTCTCAAGCTGGGGGCAGTTCAATTGCGAAACGCAAACGCTTATGACTAAAGATAATTTTAATTGCAGTGCAGATAATGACCTTGTTTACGACGCCATGAAGTCATTCCCTTCCGGACATGCTTCTATTGGAGCATTTGCCGCTGTGTTTGGAGTTATATATTTGCAGAAGTTTTTAAAACGGTTTAAAAACATCTGTATGCTCAAAACTCTGATTCAAGTCTGTTTCATTGTGTCTGCATGGTTTGTTGCATTCAGTCGCGTTGCGGATAATCATCATCACCTTTTGGATGTTATCATAGGCCTGCTCATTGGATGTATTTTGGCAATAGTTTGTGTTGAATATTGCTTCCCGACACAGCAGTTCAGCTTCGGAACTGTTGGTTCAAAGATATCTGAGACAGAAAAAGAGAACGGATCTCCGGGTCTTTCTAGAAACGCAACTGTAGACACAAGCAGTCTCAATTTTGATGTCAATCAGAATAGAAGTAGATCACGCGATTCGCCTTCTGTGACTTCAATAGCAAACGAAGTTACAGACTACCATAGTAAACGAAAGGCATCCAGAGAAAAAGCAGCGATACAGCCATACGGTCTAATTGCATACGAAACAAGTGCCTAAGACTTATTAATAACTTTATCGTGATACATATCAATCAGCAGTTACCAGTCTTAGTTTCAAAACAATCTACTAGTTTTAGCAGTACCGATCTTAAGTTTTACATTTGTTATCTTTTCGTGTATATAAATTTGAATTATATATTTTTGAAATCAATTGTTTTGATGTTGTACCTAAAATCGTATTTAAAAAAAAACTGAATCAATTTTTACCAGAGACGGGATAACCGTCATTTGTAAAAAAAACTGTAGACGAATTTTCGGTGGTATGTGAACAATCAGCAAAAGAAGCCCTGATGTCTTTTGGACCATTTTTGATTGGTTTCGTTCTGATGGTTTGAAAATTTGGCGGCTTGGCTTGTCGTAACTTGTATGTTGCTGTAGAAGTTTCACTTCTAATGAAACTCAAGTAATATAAAAATAACTTTGTATTCTGATGTGTTTTTTTAATTTCCACTCAAAATCAGGTACCACAAATAATCATCGGACTGGGAGCAATCTTAGTTTAATTGCTTAAAAGCTTATAGTAGCTTAATTTAAAACGTAAAAACTTAGTTTTTTAGTTTAAGTAACGTTTTTTAGTTTAAAACTTGATTAACGTTAGTTACCTTTGAGTATTTGAGCGCCTTTTTGGAATCAAAGTTTTCAAAAAATCAAAAAACTGCAAAACTTGAAAAAATTTTCATTAACTTTTTTTCTTAAATTATTTTTCTGCAAAAATAGTTTTTCAATTTACTTACTTAAATATGACTGTCGAATAGGCCTAATATCCATTTTTGTTCAGCTCCATTTATATCACCACGCCAAACAACGACAATAATTTGGAAAAAAACTTTGTATTTTTGTAAGACTATGATCGGAACATTTTCTGGTACTTGCAAAGCAAATGGCGATCCGAGTTCATATTGCATTTTATAGAGCTGCTTTTTGTCGTGATCTGGGTGTAAATTTAAAACTCGTTCACGCCTAGCTCAATTTTGATGTGACGTAAATATTACTCTCCAAATACGAACGTGGAAATGGCGCGAAAAAACAAACGATTTCGCGTCTGTGTCTAGGTTATTGACAACTGTATGCGAATTGATTTTTTGTCATCTTTTTTGTTTTCATTAATGTTTAAGCTCAAAATATTCAAGCTAGAACTATCTTCTCCGTAAATTTTGTTTTGGAGTATGCTTAGAGCAGTTTTTCAGTATCATCCTAAATATGATTATTTCGTATAAGTTTTTAAAAAAGTTCTTCCTATCAAACTTGTGGCACATTTTGCGAGTTTTTTTCCCTATATCCCATTTTCTTTCTTCTAGAAAAAAACGGTCTCTTTTTTCAAGAGTATTGAACGAATGAACGTAGCGACTCTTATATGGGTCTGCTAATTTTTTGGTTTTTTTTTTTCAGGAAAAAGTCTTAAAATATTGATGCACTTAGGTTTAATGCACTTTTTGAGTTCAATTGAAATTCATCTGCTAAAAGTGACGTTAAATGCACTCTCCAAATACGAACGTGGAAATGGCGCGAAAAAACGTGAACGAATTTTAGTTTACATTATCCAGTGGAATAAAAACTTCATCTATTGATCCAGTTTTCTCAAGTTGGGTTCATGTTATCAAAAAAGCGCCAGTCATAAATTGTTCTAGAAATTCAAAGAGCTTAAAGGGCATTTATTTTTATCTTTGAAATTCGAAAATTGAGATTTTTTCAAGAAAGTCAGTGTTTTTTTAATGTTTACTTGCGTTTATTACTCTTTTCCAATCTTCGATTGGCTATATTTCGAATTTTGTTGGATTAAATGTTCCATTTTGGGTTAAAAACTTACCAGGGGTTAAAAACCTACCACGCACATTGGGTTAAAAATGTACCAAGCAGAAATTTCAAAATTTGAAAGGGAATAGTCAGCTTCTTGCTAGAATGTAGAAAATTGGATTAAATTTTTTTTTGAGACTGATTCGAACAATTTTGGTAGATGAAGATTTTTAGATTTATTACTTAATGACTTTCGTCTATTTTGCAGTCAGCTAGCTGACCTTGCTATGTTAGTGTTCTACAGTGCTGATTTAAATTATCCGGACAAAACGCATTCATTTCGAGTTTTAAATGCGTCGTTTTGCAAATTTTGGAACCAAATTTTTGCTTAATTCTGCTGAAATTCTAAGCAAGTTTTGTCGTCATCTCTTCAAACCTAAAGTCAACTCAATTTTAAAAAAACGCGTTTTAATTTTCAAGTTCAATGCGTTTTGTCTGGATAATTTAAGACAGCACTGTATCTATCGCAAGTGGTGCGAATTCCGCATCGCCTCTTATAGCAACACATTTTTGGCGAATTTCTGTGCTATAGTTGGACCTAGCAAAAATAGTTAAAAATAGCATTCTGCCAATTTAAAATTCGAATTTTTAGGCGACCTTGAGACATCCTTTCGGTGCAAAAAATGAGCTTTTGCATGCAAAACATTCTGAAATAGGTCATTTGTTCTGTTTATTTCATTTTGCCTGTATCAACTTTTTGCCACTCTCTATACTTGCATAGTAACGGCTAGTCCTGAATTGACTTTGAGATCTTTTTTGATTTTTTTTTAATACATGGAAATTGCTGCCAAGTTTTTTGAATAAGGACTACATTCGTTTGAGACAATTTTTTTCAGTGATATTTTTTCCAGGACATTTTTTGAGTTCAAAAAGGAATTAATGGAGCAGGTTTTCATCGAACTTTTAATTCCATTCTGATAATTTTGCAGCTCTCTAACAAAATTTGTGAATGCTTTAACATTCTCATCTTTCAAGTAAGGGTTTGGTTACTGAAATTGTTACTTAAAAGATGAAACATGTATAGATAAATATGTATGCTCCCGTTGTTTTTTCTTCCAGACGAATTTATTTACTCGGGCATAATATTTTATACCATCTGAAAGACATCATTGCCTTGAGTTCGAATTTTTAAAAATGTGTCAACTGCGATGAATTTTCTTTATCCTTGCGATAAAGCAAGGGTATTGCAATCGGGTACCAGACTTTTTTCCATAAATAACTGTTCACAGGACTCATTTCATCTTGTGGACTTCTTAATCTTCTTTAATGCTCAATTTCTTGAAAATTCAAATAAAACTACCATATTTCAAATAGTAACTAGTTAAAGTCCGATTCAGGTTGTATTTTTTTTTTCAAAAATTTCTCTTTTTGGATTTGTGGTTTTCGTCCTAGTTTCTGCGGATCCATTTTCCTTTTTTTGGAAACGTCATTTTCTAACTGATAGGGTTTTTATTGGCTTACTTTCTAGAGCATGTATTTTCTTCGATTCCAAAAAGTTCAGTAATTTGTAAGTTTACCAAGTCTGATTTTGGGTTATTAAAAAAAATTCGTTTTCTTTTTCAATGTTTAAATTGTTTCAGTTAATGTTGTTTCGGCTCATCTATCTATATCTATTTATCTATCTATCTATCTATATCTATCTATACTATATTTAAATGCGAGTGACAGCTATCTCCCATGTTTAAGCATAATAATTTTATTTCATGTTTAAGCTATATCCTATATTGCAATGCTTAAGAAAATTTTTCAATTAGTTTTTCGCAAGGTCATTAACTTTTCAGTATTTTTTGAGGTCAAATTAAGTCTGTCTGTCTGTATACCTGCTTTTTTAAATAATCTTATTATGTCTGTCTACCCGTCGCCTTATTTTTAAACTTTCATCTATTATCTATCTATCATATATTTAAATGCGGGCTTCACTATCTCGCCATACTTTGTTTCATCAAGTTTGAAATTAGCAACCCAATATAAGGATATTGTCAGCGTTTTCCCAGGTTTTGCGATTCTGGCCTCCATATATGAATAACCAAATCCTTATAGTTTACGAGATAGGCAAGTTTTGAGATTTTTCAAAAATTTCTAGAAAATTAAACTAAAAAAAACTTCTCAATTTTTGAAATTCTCACCCTGTAGTTGGGTATTGTCAGGGTACTCTCAGGGATTGCGAATCTTGCCTCCAATTCTCACTTCTCAAGTCCTTGTAGTTTTCGAGATATGACGTTTTTTTATGATTTTTCAAAAACATAGATTTTAAAAAATTCCAAAACGTTTAAGATCTCAATCTTGTTGTTGGGTATTGTGAGGGTACTCTCAGTGGGTTGCGAATCTTGCCTCTGAATATGGCTGCTCAAATTTTTGTAGTTTTCGAGATATGACGTTTTTTTAGGATTTTTAATTTTTTTCAGAAAACTTAGGTATAAAAACTTTCACTAAACTTGAAGTTATCATATCTGTAGTGAGGCTCTGTCTGGGTACTCTCAGGAGTTGCGAATATGGCCTTCAAATAGGACTGCGAATTTTGCCTTCAAATAGAACTGCTCAAAATCTTGCAGTTTTCCAGATATGACGTTTTTTGTGATTTTTCAAAAAAAATGTTCATGAAAATTATATTAATTTTTTTTCAAAGTTTGTAGTTCCTAACCTGTAGTTGGATGGCTGTCAGAGTAATCCCAGGGGTTGCAAATTTGGCCTCCAATTAGGAATGCCGAATCATTTATTAAGAGATACGACGATTTTTGTGATTTTTTTTGGAAATTTTCAGAAAACTCAAATTACAAAATGTTTCGTTTCAGTGAAATTTCCAACCCTGTAGTTGTGTACTTTCAAAGATTGCGAATATTGCCATCAAAAAAGACTGCTCAAATTTTGGTCCTTTTTGAGATGTGAATTTTTTTCTGGTTTTCAAAAAAAAATACCTTGTCGAAAACTTAAGGTCAAGTTTCTCATAATTTGAATTTCCCAACGTTGTAGTTGGGTACTGTAAGAGTAATCTCAGGACTTGCAATTCTTGCGTCCAAATACGACTGCTCAATTGCATTCAGTTTCCCAGATGTGACGTTTCTTAATTCATTATAAACTCGGATATAAAAAAAATGGTCACAAATTTTTATGGTTTTTCAAAATTTGAACTAAAAAATCGAATGAAAAATTTTACAAATTTTGAAGTTACTCTCAGGAGTTGCAAATCTTGCGTCCAAATGCGACTGCTCGATTGCTTTCAGTTTCCCAGATGTGACGTTTTTTAGTTCATTTTAAATTTTTTGAAGAACTTATATAAAAATTTTATGGTTCTTCAAAGTTTGTATAAAATTTTTTTAATTACGATCCCTGTAATTGGGTGCTGTCAGAGTACACTCA